CATCAAAATAATTAAGGACTACCAAGTTGTGTACACTGTTGAAGGATATATTCAAACATCATCAAAATAATTAAGGACTACCAAGTTGTGTACACTGTTGAAGGATATATTCAAACATCATCAAAATAATTAAGGACTACCAAGTTGTGTACACTGTTGAAGGATATATTCAAACCACATCAAAATAATTAAGGACAACCAAGTTGTGCACACTGTTGAAGGATATATTCAAACCTCATCAAAATAATTAAGGACTACCAAGTTGTGTACACTGTTGAAGGATATATTCAAACCACATCAAAATAATTAAGGACTACCAAGTTGTGTACACTGTTGAAGGATATATTCAAACCACATCAAAATAATTAAGGACTATCAAGTTGTGTACACTGTTGAAGGATATATTCAAACCACATCAAAATAATTAAGGACTACCAAGTTGTGTACACTGTTGAAGGATATATTCAAACCACATCAAAATAATTAAGGACTACCAAGTTGTTTACCCTGGTCTACTACAGCTATCGTATTGGTGAGCAAGTTAAGTCATGTAGAGAAACAGGAGACATCAACAAAAAAGTTTTTAAGTGTGTTGTGAAAAAGTATAATGTTAATTGCTGATATTTATATATTAAAAACTCAAAAATGAGATTTTTACGTGTTCTTATAATGCAATCTAATATATATACTTGATTAAATGTAATAGATTTTATTTTTTTACTTCACATATAAATGCCAGTATTTCAACGTTGTGTAATCTGACACAGTCATGTTTATTTGTATAAAATGGTAACAATGTTCAAATTTCTTTGTCAGGTATGATAGAAAAGGCAATATTTTATTCTGAGTACCAGTCCATCAACTCTACTGGACAGTCAGGTAATGTGATATAGTTGTGTTTGTTTGTAGAAATGGTATAAATATTCAAATTTCTTTCCTCTTTTTACTTTTTACGAATCCATATTTATCGAAATGCTTCCCCACATCTAAGTTTTACGAATCCATGTTTATCAAAATGCTTCCTCACCTTTAAGTTTTACGAATTCATGTTTATCAAAATGCTTCCTCACCTTTAAGTTTTACGAATCCATGTTTATCAAAATGCTTCCTCACCTTTAAGTTTTACGAATCCATGTTTATCAAAATGCTTCCTCACCTTTAAGTTTTACGAATTCATGTTTATCAAAATGCTTCCTCACCTTTAAGTTTTACGAATCCATGTTCATCAAAATGCTTCCTCACCTGTAAGTTTTACAATTCCATGTTCATCGAAGTGCTTCCTCACCTGTAAGTTTTACAATTCCATGTTCATCGAAGTGCTTCCCCACCTCTAAGTTTTACGAATCCATGTTTATCGAAATGCTTCCTCACCTTTAAGTTTTACGAATCCATGTTTATCGAAATGCTTCCTCACCTCTAAGTTTTACGAATCCATGTTCATCGAAGTGCTTCCCCACCTCTAAGTTTTATGAATTCATGTTTATCGAAATGCTACCCCACCTCTAAGTTTTATGAATTCATGTTTATCGAAATGCTACCCCACCTCTAAGTTTTATAAATCCATGTTTATCAAAATGCTTACTCACCTTTAAGTTTTACGAATCCATGTTTATCGAAATGCTTCCCCATCTTTTTTAAGTGTTTCTTTGCATTAGTCTGTAATAGTTAGAGATGTTATGTTTGTTCATCTCTAGTTAAAGGTGCTGTTCTGCTAGCCGAGTTGCTCTCTTGTGCCAAAAGGACGCTGGCACGGATGTTGGTGATCATTGTTAGCCTTGGATTTGGAATTGTCAAGTAAGTTGGGTAATTTTTAATAAGTACACATTACTTATTTTGTTCTCCTATTTCTTGAACATGGTAATTTACATATTTTAAATCATAAAGAAAGCTTTCTGAATGTTATCAGAAGAAGAAACTAAGATTTTAGATTATCCTGTTGTAGGAAAGAAAACCTATTGTTTTATCTTAGAATTCTTGTTCGGTATAAATACTGCTCAGGTAGATTCTTACTTTTTGTTTCCACTTGATAATTTACTAATACTTGTAATTTAATGTCTGAAATAAACGTGTCCATTTATACAAACTATGTGGCCGCATGTAAATTAGCCACAAAATGTGACCCAGTATGAAGTAACTCGGAGACTGCTGTGTGAGATTTTGTTTTTATCTTTCTACAATTAAGAAAGAGAGATTTGTTTGACTAAACTTGATAAAATGTTGGAATGCATACAGTATGACTTGTGTTTTCGTATAATACTTAAAATCTATCATGTTGTGGTCAGTTGTGAGAATAAAGAAACTTGACTTAAGCATTATTAATGATGAATTAATAGATATGCAAATTCTACATTTCGAGAGTATGTATTAGTTGTTACCAAACAGATGAATTCAATAACTAAAAGATAACAAAGAGCTTTTAGTTATGTTCCATTGAGGCAGTGAGTAAAATGCTGGACAACTGAAAATGGTGATGGAATGAAATTCATTATCTTTTTAGGAAATGGTCATTTCACCTCATTTGTAGAGATTTCCTCATGCAACATATTTACTATTTACAAAAAAAATTACTGAAATATTATAAAACCTACACTGTGTTTTTAAAATTTTTACTCGTATAGAAACTAATTTACACTTTTATTTTTAGAAAATTTCTATACATAATATTCTTCCTTGAATATTATTTTATTTTTTACTCTATATCATTAGGCCAAGACTTGGTCCAATGCTCCATCGTGTTGTTGGTGTAGGAGCATTATACTTTATTCTTGGGACTGTTGAGGCATGGCTACGCATTTTTAAAGTAGGTTTTTGTTTTTCTTTATGTAGTGTGAGTAAATGTGGATGAAAAAAGAGAGAATTGATGATTCTGTAATTGTTGTTTAGCTAAAATGTGATTTTTTTTTTCACTGGAATTTGAGTACCATTTTGTAGCTTTATATTACAGTGTGCTGTATTTTTTAATGAATGTAAGTGATTAATTCAAAGTAAGCAGATATACTCATGAACTTATGATGGTATTTTGACAAAAAATAGAAATTCCTAATTACATTATTAAATTATTTGAAATATTTTCAATTTATTTAACTTGGTTATCCTTGGAATCAGCTCTCAAAACAGTATAATAATAAGTGTTAAGTTCTTCCAACAATGCAGTAACAATGTTTAGTTCTTCCAAGAGCATACTAACAATGTTTAGTTCTTTCAACAGTGTAGTAAGAATGTTTAGTTTTTACAACAATGTAGTAACAATATTTGGTTCTTTCAATGGTATAATAACAATGTTTAGTTCTTCCAAGAGTGTAGTAATAATGTTTAGTTCTTCCAATAGTGTACTAACAATGTTTAGTTTTCTAATGGTGTAGTAACAATGTTTAGTTTATCCAGCAGTATAGTAACAATGTTTAGTTTATCCAGCAGTAATAATGTTTAGTTTATCTAGAAGTATAATAACAATGTTTAGTTCTTCCAAGAGTGTAGTAATAATGTTTATTTCTTCCAATAGTGTACTAACAATGTTTAGTTTTTCTAATGGTATAGTAACAATGTTTAGTTTATCCAGCAGTATAGTAACAATGTTTAGTTTATCCAGCAGTATAGTAATAATGTTTAGTTTATCTAGAAGTACAGTAATAATGTTTAGTTCTTCCAATAGTGTACTAACAATGTTTAGTTTTTCTAATGGTATAGTAACAATGTTTAGTTTATCCAGCAGTATAGTAATAATGTTTAGTTTATCTAGAAGTATAGTAACAATGTTTAGTTTTTCCAATAGTGTACCAACAATGTTTAGTTTTTCTAATAATATAGTAACAATGTTTAGTTTATCCAGTAGTATAGTAATAATGTTTAGTTTATCCAGCAGTATAGTTACAATGTTTAGTTTATCTAGAAGTATAGTAACAAAGTTTAGTTTATCTAGCAGTATAGTAATAATATTTAGTTATTTCAATAGTATAGTAATAATGTTTAGTTCTTTGAATGGTATAGTAACAATGTTTAGTTTATCCAGCAGTATAGTAATAATGTTTAGTTATTTCAATACTATAGTAATAATGTTTAGTTTATCCAGCAGTACAGTAATAATGTTTAGTTATTTCATGGTATAGTAATAATGTTTAGTTTATCCAGCAGTACAGTAATAATGTTTAGTTATTTAAGTGGTATAGTAACAATGTTTAGTTTATCCAGCAGTATAGTAATAATGTTTAGTTTATCCAGCAGTACAGTAATAATGTTTAGTTTATCCAGCAGTATAGTAATAATGTTTAGTTCTTTCAGTGGTATAGTAACAATGTTTAGTTTATCCAGCAGTATAGTAATAATGTTTAGTTTATCCAGCAGTACAGTAATAATGTTTAGTTATTTCAGTGGTATAGTAACAATGTTTTGTTTATCCAGCAGTATAGTAATAATGTTTAGTTTATCCAGCAGTACAGTAATAATGTTTAGTTTATCCAGC